TAAATAAAATGTTATTAGGTTCTAACATTTTTATTCTCTTCTGAATGAGTCTTCCAGAGTTTGTAGATTGTCTTTCAAAGTTGAAAACAATGTTTACATCATTCTGACTAGGTTTATAGATGAATGTGTTGGTAGATTTTGGATCTTATTAAGCCTGTCTTCAGTAGCAACATCTTAAAAATAGCAATGATGCATATATTCAGATTTTTTTAAAAGATTTTATTTATTTACTTGAGAGAGAAAGAGTGAGAACACAAGCAGGGGGAGCGTTAGATGGAGAAGAAGCAGGCTCCCCGCTGAGCAAGGAACCTGATGTGGGGCTCGATCCTAGGACCCCAAGATCATGACCTGAACTGAAAGCAGCCACTTAAATGACTGAACCACCTGGGTGCCCCTCAGATTTTTTTTTTTTTAAGTACAGATCTGATGATAAGCAATTCATTTAGCTGATAAGCAATTCATTTAGCTTTTGCTTGTCAGGAATATATACTTAATTTTCAGTTTTAAAGGCTATTTTCCTGGATAAAGAATTCTGGGCTGATCTATTTCTTATTTTAGCACTTTGAGGATGTCATTTCACTGTATTCTGGTCTCCATATTTTTCTGATAAGAAGTTGCTAAATTCATAAGCATCTGAAGTAGAGTCTTTTTCTTGCTGTTTTCAAGATCTTACCAATACACTTGGTTTTTAGCAGTTTGAGTATAAAGTCTCTTAGGGAGGTTTTCTTTCCTTTCCTTTTTTTTTTTTTTTTAAGATTTTAATAATTTATTTGACAGAGACACAACGAGATAGAGAACAGAAGCAGGGGAGTAGCAGAGGAAGAGGGAGAAGCAAGCTTCCCATTGAGCAGGGAGCCTGAAGTTGGGGCTCGATCCTAGGACCCTTGGATCATGACCTGACCAAAGGCAGATGCTTAATAACTGAGCTACCCAGGCGCCCATTAGGGTGATTTTCTTTACAGTCTGTTGTGGTTCACTGAACTTTTAGATCTCTAAGGATGTTGCTTTTCACCAAATAGGAGGAAATTTTTGCCATTCCTTCTTTTTTTTGGGCTATTACTTCTTAAAATACTTTTTCTGCCCCATTTTTTTTTCTTTTTTTTTTTTTTTTGGTACTCTAATTACATGTATTATCACTTGATACTGTCTCATAGACCTAAGGCTCTGTTTATTTCTCAAAAATAATTTTTCCCTCTGTTTTTCAGATTGGATAATTCTATGAATCTATAATTCAAGTGGGTCTTTATTCCTGATATCCTCAATCCTCTGTCTGTTAAGCCCCATACATTTTTCATATCAGATATTACACTTTTAAATTCCTGAATTTCCAGTTGATTTTTTTATAGTTTTAATTTGTTCACTCATTATGACTATATTTTCTTTTAATTTCTTGAACAATATCTGCTTAATTTCTTCCAATATCTGCTTTCTTAAATTTCTTAATTTAATCTTCTTAATTTCTTCCAATATCTGCTTTAAAGTCCTTGTCTGATGATTCCTATATCTGGGTCACCTTGTAATCTGCTTCTACTGATTACTTTTTTTCTTTATTAAGGGTTATATATATATTTTTTAAAGATTTTATTTATTTGAGAGAGAGCACAAGCAGGGGGAGGGACTGAGGGAGAGGAAAAATCAGACTCCCCACTGAGCAGAGAGCCTGACACAGGTCCTGGGATCATGACCTGAGCTGAAGGCAGACACTTAACTGACTGAGCCACCCAGGTGTCCCAAGGGTCACATTTTCTTATGTCTTCACATGTCTAGTAATTTTTGATTTCTGGCTGGACATTGTATTGTTACATGGTAAGATGTCTGATTATGCTGTAATACAGTAAACTCAGTACTTCAAAGTGTTGAGTTTTGTTCTGGTAGGCAGTTAATTTCATGGCAGCAAGCCAAAATTTTAAAACTGCATATGAGCATATTCATTCCTAGCAAGAGAAAAAAGGTGCTTTATAAATCAGAAGGCATGACATCATAAACGTGTTTTTGAATAGAACAGGGAACTTACTTTTATGAAGCAAAACCGCACAAACTTCTCAAACTGTAGTTTGGTCTCTGTGTTACAGAATGCTGAAACTGGAATGGCTGACAGTTTCTGAAAAATAAATAGGAAAATAAAATAGGAAAACTACTTTTTCAAATTTAATTTTAGAATAGATAAATGTCAAAAACAAATACTTCTAAATGTTCACAACAACTTCCAAAAAGAAAAAAATGTTTTTAAAATCCTCCACAGAGCCATAGTGGAATATCACATAACAAAACTGTAGTTAACATTGTTCAAAACATGTCAGCAAGTATTCTTCATAAGTTAACCATAAAATACAGCACAGTATCTCAAAGGCCAATAAACATTACCTTATTTTTAGTCATCCATTTCACAAATTTATAGTCATATGGTTCATTACTGTCCTTCATATCAGAGAGGTCTGCATCTAAAACAACAATGAAAATTAGATCGTCTATTATATCTGAGGAGAAGATGTATTTCATTTAAATCTGCCAAGATTCAAAATATTTTCAGAAAATAGTCACAGAAACTACTGAAGTCTCACACTATATGGTGGGTTGGGAAGTGAGGAATTCACAGTGAGGAAGTGAGGAATTCACATTTTTTTGTTTTATTTTGTTTTTTTAAGAACGATTATTTCCAAGATTATGTAACTAACACCATTTTCCATTTGCTATTGCAGCCACAAAGTTCATTCCGAAGTTAATGCTAATCACAATACTGTATGAACTTATATGAAAAATTCGCTTCCTTCCCCTCCTATGTGAACTGATCCTCTGTTATATAAATTTCTATTTATATATATTATTACATACAAACCTTTTTAATATAAGTTAGCTTAAATGCTTTTTGGAAATAAATCAAGTATATAAATTAATTATTTTAAAAATAACTCATGTTGGGTAACTCTCTCAGGTTCCCTTTCCTTCTCAGGAGCTTTTGTACTGTCACTTAGATATCTCTCAATAAACTTTTTCTGTTGCTCACCAATAATAATAATAATAATAATAATAAAATAAGTACATAAATAAAAAAATAAAATACATAAAAAATAAAAATAATTCATGGATGGCTCAGTTGGTTAAGCATCTGCCTTCAACTCAGGTCATGATCCCAGGGTCCCTGGGATAGGGTCCCACATCGGGCTCCTTGCTCAGCAGAAAGCCTGCTTCCCCCTCTGCCTGTCCCTCCTCCTGCTTGTGCCCTCCCTCTCCGACAAATAAATAAATAAAATCTTTAAATAATAAATAAAAATATACAAAATAAATAATAAAAAATAATTCATATTGAAATGGTATGGATTTTCAATTCAAAAGCAAACTAAAGGTGATGAAAACAGCTGTTTCTTTTTATCATCTCATAAAATGAGTTATACATTTAGATGTACCATAGGAAAAGTGATTTCTAAACCTCAGAATATAGGACATCTTAAGGGGTTTTATATAATAATGGAGCTTGGTAGAGCCAAACATATATATCTTTCAGGCTATAGGACAGCAAAAATCTCTGGGCATAATGGCCTCTGCTTCTCTCACAACAAATGAAGAAATAAGTCACTCTTTGGTTATAAAAATCAAAAGTTTTTATAAAATGCTTTTCAAGTTCAGTGGAATATAACTTTATTGTAATAGAACTTTAAAACAAACTATTTGGCCAACTTCTATCAAAATAAATTATGCTTTTAAATTTACTAATATTAACACTATAGGGTTTTTTTTGAAGAAAATTGGTTATATATAAAATGTTATCATGCTCCTAATTTTAGATTAGTATGGGATGTCAGAAATATATAAAATAGCTTCAGGTAATATAAAGACCATTGTTGGGGCACCTGGGTGGCTCAGTGGGTTAAACCCTCTGCCTTCAGCTCAGGTCATGATCTCAGGGTCCTAGGATCAAGCCCCACATCAGGCCCTCTGCTCAGCAGGGAGCCTGCTTCTTCCTCTCTTTCTGCCTGCCTCTCTGCCTACTTGTGATCTCTGTCAAATAAATAAATAAAATCTTTAAAAAAAATAAAAAAAATAAAGACCATTGATTTTAGAGACAAAACTATTTGGAATCCAGCTATGTGACTTCAGGCAAGTTATGTAAAACTTTCGAAGTCTTCACATCTTTAAAATGGAGCTAACAACACTTTCTTCAAAAGGGTGTTTGAAAGTGCTAGGCAGGTAGTAGATTCTCAATAGATATTATTTTCCTTCTTTACTTCATTTCAGTATATTCTAAAATAACAAACATTCCCTGATAGCAACAACATTCTAGAAATTTTATTTTTCTTAAGTAAAAAGGGAACTAAAATTTTACTCAGGGGAACCCTGGGATCATATATTATTTCATATACTTTTGTTTTAAATTCCACACTAGAACAAGATGATAGCAAATTCTATGTTTAATGGAATACCTAAAAGAACTGACTGCATAACCATGTTAACAGTCACACTTAAGGTTCAGGGACCTCAAACTCAAGACAGTTATTAAAACAAAAGACAAACAACAACAACAACAACAAAAACCAGTGACATTGTGAAAAGCCATTTTCCAATAGACAAAATGTTGGTATGACTTTGACACCAATCTTTACTCTCTAATTCTAATATAATTTCCCACATAAGTTTCCATATATTTGTAATAATAAAAACTCTTACAAACCTAGCAAAGACACATCAGCAATGATGAAGTATCCCCCATCAGGAACTATGGGCTTTAGGCCAAGATTTTCAAGTAAATGTATCATCCGATCTCTTTTTACTTCTAACTCTTTTGGCAAAGAATTGAAATAACACTCTGGGTCATCCATGCGCTTGATGTCAATCCAAAAAGCTTGAGCCAAGGCTTCCTGCATGTTAAGATTGAAACATGTGGAAAGGAAATACGGTAATGTTACTTATTGCTGAATTTATTGGTAGAATTAAAATTGCCTGAGTCACATGATTGGCAAAAAAAAGAAAAAAAATCATTCAGAGAATTATAGCTGAATTCCTGTGAACTTATGTTAGGCGATGTAAATTAACAGAGGAATCAGTTACATGTAAATGATTAAATCTAACTTGAAGAACTGAGAATGGGCCATGAAGATCTGAATTAAAAAAAGGTTTTGTATAAAGATGGCTTACTTGGAAATGAAAAGACATGAAGTTATTTTCCACTGAGATGAGCTGCAGAATGACTTGCTAGATCTAAGTCTGAAAGATGACAAAGAAATGATGAACTAGCCAGCCTTTTCCCATTACCTTGGAGGAGGTCATGGAAATGAAAGCGGACCCACTATGTCACTACCCATAGGTATGCAATAATTCTAATCTAAATTCTAATCCCTGTTCTAATCATTCGTATCCCAGAAGTATCTATGGACCACAGGGATTAGAAAAGAGTTTCCAAGGTATATGGAGTCACTTCTGTACCATTCCTCAAGAAAGCCAGAAGTGACAGGAGAGAAACTGGGAGAAGGGAAAAAGCCAATGTTGTTAAAGGTCATGTGGGTGTCTGAGGAGGCAACAGGTCAGGAAAAGGTAAACAAGTCTGAATCAGGACATACATAAAGAACGAGGATCTGTACAAGCAAGGGGGCAGAAGATTGGTAGGTCAGTGTGAACTGAAACAACTTAGAAATACCGGTTCTCAGCACAAAGAAGGAAACATAAGTAAATAATCAATAAGTGGAATGGTTGAGATAGCAGGGCAAAGTGGCCAAATTTTAAGGAAATTAATCAGAACCAAGAAGTATCAAGAATTAAAGGATAAAACATTCATTCAGTAAACATATACTGAATACCAATGTTAAATACTGGCATTGTGATAAAACACTGGGGCTATAATGGTATATAAGAGAAACATGATCCTCACTGTTATGAAGATTCCAGTTGGTGTTTACTGGAGGGGGTAAGTGGAAGGGATGAGGAAACAAATACATGCAAAAGGCAGGATACAGTTTGTTCTGTTGGAAGAACTGAGTCTGGCGTGGCTCAAGAGTAGCAAGAGTGGATGGCAAGAAATGACATGGAGAGACAGGGAAGGGTAAGATCACTGAGAAGATCGCATTCCAAAAGAAGCCAGCAGGAAAAAAGAATTAATAATAATTTCCAGTACTAACAAAATCTTGGATAAATAAGGATCAAGTTGCATCAGCCTGGGAAGCTGGGGTTCTCTTGGGAAGCATGGGCCAGCTTCCAGACTTGGTTGTCTGAATGCATGGAAAAATCCAGGCACTTAGCTGAAATGGAGGACCAGAGCAGTCAGGAAAGGATGTTCCAGATTCTTAGCTGCATCCTTCTTTTTCTCAGCAATTTATTCACTCCCCATTGCAGGAGATATTGCCCTAGAAAAGTCAAAGCTCAAGAGACATGAACATGTCTCTTAACTGTAGTCTTATACTTGACTTCCTTTTCTCAAGCCCCACATGTGACCCAACAGCAAATACTGTCAGCTCTGCCTTCGAAATATATTCACAACCCAATCACATTCCACCATTTTACTATCCCCGTACTGGGTCAGTCAACTGCTGTCTCTCTCCTGGATCACTTCAAGAGTCTTCTGATTCAATAAAGTAGGCAGGTCCCTTTTATAGTGCAAGTTAGATCATGTTACCCTTGTGCTTGAACTCTCCAGTGCCTTCTTATCTCACTCAGCCTTTATAGTAAGGAACATGACCTTACTTGATCTGGCTTCCAGCTATTCCTTTGATTTATTTCCTCCTACTCTTGTCCTTTGATCATCCCGTCCCACTTTTGTGCTTTTCGCAGATACAAACATGACAGCCAGACTGCTTACCCCAGGGCCTTTGCACTTGTTTTTCTCACAGTCTGGAAGGTTCTTCTCTCGGTAACCCATGTGACTATTTAAGCTTCAATTCATAGCTCAGATGTCATCTCAGTGAGGCTTTCAAAGATTACTCCATTTAACATTGTATATCTCCCTTAGCACTTTATATCCTTCCTCTTTCTTGCTTTATTTTTCTCTATTGCATCTATGAATACCTGGTATATCAGTAAAATATTTACTTCTTTATTATCTGTGTACCGTCAACTGGGCTATCAGCTCAAAAAGAGCTTTTCAGAAAGAGATTCCTGCTGTATCTCCAATACTCAATAAATGTTTGTTAAATAAATGAATGGACTTATTTTGAGTGGATAAAATGAATTTATTATTATATAAAACCAAAAGTCAAAACTAGTCTTTATTATGATACTACTTTAGAGAGTCACTGGAGAAAGAATTAAAAAATTTTTTTTCTCATTCAGTAGATATTTTTGACAGGAAGCAAAAAAGTAAATTTACTGTAGCCAATATATTTCACTCTTTTGGCTTTTTAACTGTCTTCCAGAAAAAAAATTTTTTTTTCACTGTTCTGATTATTCACAGAATAATGATACATAGATACCTATTTTATATTCATTTTTTAAAAACAGAAAAAATATAAAAAGGATATACATTAAAAAGTCTTGTGCCCAGCCCTGTTCCTATCTACTCATTTCACCTATTCCTCAATCCCCTAAAATTAGCCACTTTTACTAGCTCCTTAAGGATCCTTCCAGAGATCCTTTAGGAAAATACAAGTGAACGGTTTCCCCCTGTCTTATACAGGATATAGCAAAAATATACATTGCCCTGCATCTTGCTTTTTTTACTTTACAGTATATTCCGGAAATTTTTCCATATTGATCATTATAGAGTTTCCTCATTCTTTTCCTTTCTTTTCATTTATTAAATACTCATAGTGACAGACAGAATGGCCCCCAAAGGTGTCCAGGTCTTAAAACCCAGAACCTGTAAGGGCACCTGGGTGGCCCAGTCCTTCAGTTCAGGTCATGATCCCAGGGTCCTGGGACAGATCCCTGCATCAGAGCACCCACCCTCTGAACCTCCCCACTGCTTGAATAAATAGAAAAATCTTAAAAACAAACAAACAAAAAAACCCAGAACCTGTAAATATGGTACCCTGCATGGTAAAATGAACTTTGCAAATGTTCAAATACAATCATAAAGATCCTTATAAGGGCAAGAAGGTAGCAGGAGAGAATCAGAATCATGTTAGAGTGATGTGACCATGAGCCAAGGAATGTGAGCAGTCCCTAGAAGACGGGAAAGATAAGGAATGAAGTCTCCCTTAAAGCATCCAGAAAGAACACCAGAAATTAGACACTCTGTTTTTAGCCATAAGACCCATTTCAGATTGTTGACCTCCAGAACTGTAAGATAAAAAATTTGTATTGTTTTAAGCCACCAAGTTTGTGGCCATTTGTTACAGAGAAATAGGAAACGAATACAAAACTCATATAGTATTTAAATGTTTGGATAAACTATGGTTTGTTTTAATTCTAAAGATGGATAATGACTATCCCCTATCTCCTGCAATAAATGGCCATACACATAGACAGCTCCTTAGGTGTACAGATAAGAGCTACGGGGTGAATTCCCAGCAGATGGATTGCAGCTTTGTAGGGCATGCACATCTATAATTCTGCTTGGTGTCGTCCTGTCCTTCACAGAGTCCACAGTACTTTGCAATCCCTCCAGCAGTGTATGAGTGTTCAAAACTAAAACTTGATGTATTTAAATAAACAAAAAAAAGCTGTTCTTGATAGCAATGAATATTTGTCCGTTCCTAAATTCCCAAACAGTACTAGATGCCTGGTTCAAAAAGGGCACTCGAATACACAGCCTAAAAATAACACTTTTACCAAAAGACCATGCTTCAACCCCAAGTATCGTTAATACTTACCTGTAAAGGCGTCGCACAGGTATAAATGGTGTTTTGTTGGACCGTCTGTAAATGTTTTATCAGATGATGAGGACCAATGGACCAGCCAAGCTGGAAAAGGAAAAGATAAAAAGCAGATTTCAAAAAACAAATCTAACTGTATGTACCAAATCTGATGGAGTAGTTCAGCTTAATGTAATTATTAAGTATATGCAAGTCTAAAATGTTCATACTATGAAAGTAGTGCAGTGTTAGTATTTACCCCTCATTTCAACACTGTTGTTTTGTGAGAAAGTTTCCACTGGAGTCACTGAACTCTGCTTTCAGAAGGTAAACAGTACCCTTAGTCACTATTATCCTTTTCTTTTCTAATTTGCTACTTCTGATATTCTGAAGGTCTAAAAACTGTAACAAAGGTTATCTGAATTAGGTAAAAGTAACTCTGAATGAGGGCCTAGGGGGCTCTTCCATAAGCTGGTTCTCCAGGCCCCATTTTCTTGATACTCCCTGCTTCTTGGCCATGTTCAGGAGAGGCCGGTTGGAGGATGACCAAGTTTCCATGGCCTTACCATGGGTGTTGAGATTACTTAAATGAATAAATAAATAAAAACTAAACAATAATTTACTGGGTAAATTGTTATTGTATTACATAATGTGGTGCGTAAGTACGTGGATTCTGAAGCTAAACTGCCTGCACTGGCTTGACTTTATTTGCAGTATAGCCTCAGGCAACTTACTTAACTTTTCTGTACTAGTTTTATTGCCTGAGAAAGGAGATGACAAATTACACTCACTTCATAATGCCCTTATGAGAATGAGCTTGTGTAAAGCACTTAGAACTTGGCAAAGAGTAAGTGCCAAAATAGTTATTATTCTATATTATTTCTTCCTCCTTTTATATTAATATGCAATAATCTGAACGCTTTTTGCAAAAAAAGAGTGCCATTAGTTCATTACTTATAAAATAAAAAACTACCTATTTTTTCTGCCATTTACAGTGACATGGATGGAGCCAGTGTTATGCTAAGTGAAATAAGTTAGAGAAAGAAAAATACCATATGATTTTACTCATATGTGGAATTTAAGAAACAAAACAAATGAGCAAAGGGAAAAAAAAGAGAGGGAGGGAGGCAAAACAAGAAACAGATGCTTAACTATGGAGAACACACGATGGTTAACAGAGGGGAGGAGGGAGGAAGGATGGGGGACACAGGTGATGAGGAGTCAGGCAGGCACACGTGATGAGCACTGGGTTTGTATGGAAGGGCCCAATCACTGTACTGAACACCGGAAGCCAATATGACGCTGTATGGTAACTGGAACTTAAATAAAAACTTTAAAATAACAAAGAAATGATCAGGTCTCAAAAAGGATAAAGGCCAACATGAAAGCCGAATGAGTAAATAATAAAGAAAATATCAGTAAATATAAAAACCTGTGTAAACTGAGAATATATGCATTTAAAACACACAGGTACAGAAACTCTACGAGAAATAAAATATATGCCTGTTTTGAAGACATTATTTTCTTCTGCATCTTACCTTCCAGCCAGTTACACTGAAAGTCTTTCCAGCACTTCCTATTGTTATTGTTCTCTCCCACATACCTGGAAACGTAGCTGAATAGGAAAGAGAAAAGAAAAAGGTTAAGTAATTGCTTTCCCATCAATCTATATTCGTATAATCTAAAAGTAGTGTTGTCCGTGTATTTCAGTAGGTTTTTATTTTTTAAATTTATTTTTTATTTTTATTTATTTTATAGATTTTATTTATTTATATGAGAAGGAGAGACAGAGAGCGCACAGGCACGGGGGAGCTGGAGAGGGAGAAGCAGGATCCTCACTGAGCAGGGAGCCTGATGCAGGGCTCCATCCCAGGATGCTGGGATCAGGACCTGAGCCAAAGGCAGATGCTTAATGACTAAGCCACCCAGGCATCCCTTCAGTGGGTTTTTAAATATAATGTAACTTTAACCCAAACACAATTAAAAATGTTACAGTACTTGAAAACACTGTAATATGTGACAGATTAAGTAATTTTAAGTAGCACAATTACTTCCAGGGGCAGAAGCATCAGTAGCCAGTGTTCCGGGCAGAGGTCACACAAGCCTTGGCACCTAGCACTCAGTGTCAGCAGTGGCAGTACATTCAATATTCTCTTCCTGTGGCTCCATTTTGGTTGTGGTCCTGGCTATTGTTGTCTCAACTCTACTTTGCCCATTTTGTGAATCTATTTCATGTGGTCCCCACACCAGCAATAGTAGTCTCAGTGGGGAACTAGTTAGGAAGGCAAACTATTGGACTGCATCCCAGAGCTACTGAATCGGAAACTCTGGGGGTAGCGCCTGGCAATCTGGGTGTGCATGCATGTGCGTGTGTGTGTCTTGCTAACAACTTTGAGATATAAATCCTACACCGTAAAATTCACTTCTTTAAACTGTCCAATTTGATGATATTTAGTATATCAGCAGAGCTGTGCAAGCAGTTGGAGGAAGTCCATACCTTTTGGGTATCACCCCTTAATATCTCCATGGCCAAAAGCGCTAGAACTTGTGCCTGAATGGAGCTCATCTCCCATACTTATTCTTTCTATAATACACACCATAGCCTTCCTGCTCTTAGAAATATTAGGCAGCATGTCAGCACTATGCTTGGGATCTATTTTAAAGAACAAAATCATCATGAAAAGGACACTTGTTTATAGAAGGAGCTGAAATAAGAAAGCAGAGTGTTGCCTTGTTGACCTCAACTGAGAACATGTCCATCGGGCCACTCCAATTTTTTGCCCCTTTCTGCATATTTATGAATGAAGTGCTAAGAGCATTGACTTTGGAGTGAAAAAATCTATTTGTGAGTGATTCACAAGTTTGGATTGCACAAATAATGAGAAATGACTGCATAAATGTTTTCAAGTTGGTTGATATCTTTAAAAAAATCATTCAATCTTATTCTTATTTACTTACCAAACATTTATTAGCAATGACCAGGTGCCAGAGGCTAATTTAGGTCTAGAGGAAACAAAGATAAGAAAGAAGCCATTCCTATCTTCAAGGAGTTTAATGTCTAGTGGGGGTAGGAGGAAAGTAAAACAGAAACCATAGTGCAGTGTGGAAAGTGCTGTAATCGCAACAGGCATGGAGTATCATGCAAGAACAGAAGAAGTTGTTAGGCGTAGCTTTCTGTAGACAGTAATGCTTGAGCTGAGACTTGGAAGACCATGTAGGCCTTTGCCAGTCAGAGAAGGGGAAAAAAGGTAATTGGGGCAAAGGGCATGTAGGTGACAAAATGATGAAGGTAGAGAATGTAAAAGCTTGTGAACTATGCTGAACATTGATAAACTATTGCCTTTATGAATCTTCCAAGAATGCTAACTAACTACACTGCTCTTTGCACTCCTTAAGTAATTTAGTTGTGAAGTTCTCATGCAACCCCATGAGTTTTTCACCTGTTCTGCAGAGGTACAGTAGATATTCTTCTGTTGTTCTAAGTTCTAAGAGTCATGGTATACATAAACCTCTCTTTTTTTCCAGCAGTAAACTGATCTGCTGAATAACTTACAAGGAATTTTAAGATTAGTTATCTAAATACTGAAAGATTTGTATATCAATATCAGTGTATTAATATATCTTTTTTCTAGAAAGAGAGGTTTCTTTTGTTGACTGAAACATCATTTTATAGAAATCTGGAGATATCATTTGAATCAAGAATCTGATCCCAGAACAAATTCTACTACTTTAATAAAAAGGGCCCTAAGGAATTTTAAAACATCTGGATGTTCATGTCCTCTCCATCTCAGAGCCACAGAAGTTAATGTAAACAGAACAGAATACCACAGTCCTGTGTGTGAATCTAACAGGAAAAAAACAAAAAACAAAAAAGAGTCTTTGTAGGTCTGACCATTTAAAAAAAAAAAAGTATCTAGGGGCACTGGTTGGCTCAGTTGGTAAAGCATGAAACTCTTGATCTTGGAGTTCTGAGTTCAAGCTCCATGTTGGGTAGAGTTATTTAAAAACAAAACCAACACCAAAAAACCTAGGGGCACCTTGCCAGCTCAGTTGGAAAAGCACGCAACTCTTGGTCTCAGGGTTGTAAGTTCGAGCCTTACCGTGGGTGCAGAGATAACTTAAATGAATAAATAAATAAAAACTAAACAACAACAACAACAAACAAATCCCAATACCTAAAGTTGGTTAAGTTAAGCTTGCATTTGTATCTCTAAGGCAACTGGTCTTTGTACTTCCCATATATGACCCATGATCCTTAAATCAGCCACAGCAGCTATGAGTTATTTACAGGTAGCTTAGGCTTCAGTGGAAGTCAGACGGGGATGAGAGGCATGAGGAAGAGTGCTACCCCAGGGAAAACTGCTTCAGTGAAAGCCTGAGGATGCTGCTGCTTCATGATGTGTGGTTAGACAGCCTTACTATCACACTCTGCAAATTGATGAAATAGCCATTTTGCATCTTTCATATAACAAAGGCCACTGTATAGAAGAGCTAACTTTTTGTGGAACCAAACTGCACTCTCTAAATAATGAAATAGTGAATTCTTTTTTTTTTTCTTGTTTATGGGCTGTTATAAACAACTAAAAAATCCAAGTTAAAAATATAAGTCTTGATATCTTCAGCAAGTAATATCTGCTATATTTTTACTATGAAGGGCTTATCATATGAGGTTTAAGCAGTATAATAAAGGCTCAAACAATGTATCTTAAGATCATTTAAAGTTATCTATTGGAAAAATATTGTTAAACTGAGTTAACTAAAACTCTAAAGATTTGAGGCATTATTGCATAGACATGAACATATGTTTTATGTTAAGTATAGAATTATATTCATTAGAAAGATGACTCTTCTCTCTGCTTAATTAAAAAATTAAATTTATTTATTTAATTAATTAAATTAGAAATGACAAAAAATAATTATTTGTCCATATTGATCTGATTTTCTACTGGAAATAGTTCAAATGACCCAAAACAGAGAGATCATGAAGATGAACCCTAATGCAGTTTTCACCTGGAATAGCAGTTTGCTGTGTCAAGGCATCACCGTACCTTTCAGATCTCTGGCTGTCTATTCTCCCTGAGAATATTCTCTTCCATGGGTTCCACCATCAACAAAATTTTGATGACTGCCCAAACTGTTTCTCCTCATAATTTGATCCTGACTATCAGGTCTATAATTCCACTTGTCTCCGGACATCTTCACTATATCTCTCAAACACTGAAACTTAGCAAGACTAAAGCACGAGAGGCAGGAAGATTCCTTACACCCCACAGATCTGCTCCTCCTCAGCACATCCCCACCTCTGCTTAAGAGCCTCATCACTGCTGAGGGGGCCAGGCCAGAGATCTCAGAAGCATACTTGCTTGTTCCCTTCCCATCTTCAAAGGCTATACCCTCTCCCTGCCCAAGCCCCACATTGTTTTGATTCTAAACTCTACTGCTAACCTATCTGACTCACTTCAGATCCTCACCTATAGCTGGTTCTTAGCTTTATACTACAAATCCAATCATGTAACCAATTCCCTTGACATGACACATCTCTTGTTCTCAAAGTATGCTCATTGGAATTCTGACAATCAAATTAATTTGTAGAATTTAAAAAAAAATCAATTTTAAAGTCAATCACAGAAAGGTAATTATCCTATGAGCTCCCTGATAAGACGAAGTTAAGAGGCAACATAAGGGGTTTGGGGGGTAGGAAAAGAATAAATGAAACAAGAGGGGATTGGGAGGGAGACAAAGCAGAAGAGACCCTTAATCTCACAAAACAAACTGAGGGTTGCCGGGGGAGGTGGGCAGGGAGAGGGTGGTGGGGTTATGGACATGGGGAAGGTATGTGCTATGAAGTGTGTAAACCTGGCGATTCACAGAACTGTACTCCTGGGGCTAATAATACATTATATGTTAATAAAAAATTTAAAAAATTAATTTAAAAAATCAATTTTCAGTTTTCTTCCTTGAAATTTTCTTAAGTGCTTAAAATAAGTACTACTGTTTATCTGACAGTGTGTGCTACCAACAATGAAACAAATGAATATTTAGTAAGTAAATACTAATGGCAAAATAAAAAAGTTCTGATGTGTTTATTTCAATGGCTCTTTGTTACAAATATGCACAGAACTGTGATTTTTATATTGACTTCTTTTTTTAAAAAGATTTCCTTGTTTTAGAGAGAGAGAGAGAGTGTGTGTGTGTGCATGAGTGGGGGGGTGGAGAAGCAGAGGGAGAGACTGTTCAAGCAGACTTCCCACTGAGCACAGAGTTTGATCTCACAACCCTGAGATCACGACCTGAGCTGAAACCAAGAGTTGGATGCTCAATCCATCAAGTCACCCAGGCGCCCCTAATGACTTCTAATTATTAAATTTCTGTTAGGAAAACTGTCTCTTGTTTCAGGATGGAAGACAATGTATCCCTATCTCATGATGTGAATTTCGTGGCTCTGAGGTACTCTGTATACTAAGGCTTTGAGTTTCAGAATCAATGACTTCCTCCACAAGTTTATACTCTGTTCTCATATTCGAGGCTGTCAGAATTACCCTACTTTTCCATCATCATCTGTGCCTATTATATCCTTGTAAACCACTTGCCCTAATCTTAAGTATATCTTGATCTGTTACGCCTCCCTGTCTCAGTCCATATTAGTTTATCTGGTATGAATTTTCTTCCTACCTCTCTGCTTAGCAAATTCCATCTTTTGCTCACTCCTCTGTTGATCCCCTCAAGCATTTGCTTTGTCCTCTGTATTTCTACTATTTATAATGTACATAGGGATAATTATGATATATACAACTATTTATATATAAGTACACTAATTTTTTATTTATTGATTTTTTGCCTGAGTGATTTTAGTTTTCCTTCCTTTATCCTTTTCATATTTTCTATTCATTTACTCATCAATTATGCTCTGATCCTCTAACATATGCAGGATCCTATCCTGGAAATTGGGCATTCAGAAGACACTAAAACAAACAAAAGTCCCTACGTTCTAGCAGGTTAGAAGTAAACAATATAGGTCTTGATATTTATTATAAAGGAAAAAACAAAACAGAACGGGGCAGGAGGGGCAGAAAGCAAAGCAAATGCTGGAAGGAGAAAGCTTTAACTATGTTATATATGGCCATAAAAATGGATATCAGAATAAAGCCCTGGAGTAGGTGAGAGACTGAGCCATGTGGATATCTAGGGAGAAAAGTGTTTCTGGGCATTGGAAGGACAAGTGCAAAAACTCCAAGTCTGCAGCTGTGCATATAATCTTACAGCTGATATCAGTCTGAACAATTCTAGAAGACACTGAGGTACTTGTGAGATGGCCCAGTACTAATGAAGAAATCTCCAAGCAGCAATAGCTTACTGGCCCTTACATTCTCCTGTTGACTTGGAATTTTGGCAACTTGCTCAGCACAGAGTCCAGCTTGGGAACAAGTAAGCTCCCTGTATCTTATGTACCAAGTAATAGATGGATTCTTGATAAAAAGCCAAGGATATAGGCAAAAGTATGACTTCTCTGGTTTCATAGTTTTATAGTATGATCCAAAAATCCCTTCCCTTAGTTTGTACTGCTTGTCCTTCAATCTGTTAATCATTTCACTTAAGCATCATTTATTTAAATCCCATTTAAGTGCTCATCCGGACAGATACCCAATGTAAGGACTATTTTAAAGCTGTTCTGGGATCCTTTCCAATCAGTTGTTCCAGACGTGCCCAAACACATTTAGATTGTGACTCTATGTAATAATCAGTACCTATTTTTAAATGCTTATTTCCAGTATATACAAGCCATTCATAAACCTCATCACTGATGCAGAGTGTGTCATATTTGATGCAAAGGTCAGCAATTACTTGGAGTTCCTCTTTGGTATATACCTGTATGTTTTAAAGAAAACAAAAGAGCAGAGCCAATTATGATTCAACGTGTGAGAAAATGATAGGTCAGAAGACTGTATAAAGAGATCAAAGACTCACCTTGCCAATGGGGTTATGTGGAGTATTCAGTATAATAGCTTTGGTTTTAGAATTAAATTTACTTGCAAGTTCTTGAGGATCCAATGTCCAGTCAGAACTAGACCATTTTTTCCCGTTGACAGGTTTCTAAGTATGAAGAATAAAATGTGATTTAATTCAATTGATTCATGTTTGCAGTCTTACAAATAAATAACCTTACTGGGGCAAAAATAGAGAAGGGTAAGGCCTTTAAAGGTTACTGAATAAATGACTAACAAAGAAAATAAACAGAAATCACTAAGCCTGGGCGCCTGGGTGGCTCAGTTGGTTGAGCGACTGCCTTCAGCTCAGGTCACGATTCCGGACTTCCGGGTTCGAGTCCCGCATCAGGCTCCGAGCTCCACGGGGAGTCTCCTTCTCCCTCTGACCTTCTCACCTCTCATCCTCTCTCTCACTGTATCTCTCTCTCAAATAAATAAATAAAATCTTAAAAAAAAAATCATTAAGCCTTAAGAGTCCAAGAGGATTAGAGTCTCACCTATTAAATGGCAAAATAAAATCTTTTCAACACTTAATAGCTGTTAAGTGTCTACATTCCTTCAAGGGAGCCAGCTGTAATGATGGTTAACACGTTTGGTACTTTGGGGCCAATATAAGATTCTGTGATTTATCTTAGTGTATACTTATTTTAGTAAGATTTTTAAAAAGACATTGGTAGGGGGGTGGGAGGTTGGGGGAACCAGGTGGTAGGTATTGGGGAGGGCACAGATTGCATGGAGCACTAGATGTGGTGCAAAAACAATGAATACTGTTAAGCTGAAAAGAAATTAAAAAAAAAAAAAAGACATTGGTAGCATGCTTCATTAAATTCCTAAAAATAAAAGCAAAATTTTTTTTTTTAAGATTTTATTTATTTATTTGACAGACAGAGATCAGAAGGAGGCAGAGAGGCAGGCAGAGAGAGAGGAAGGGAAGCAAGCTCCCTGCTGAGCAGAGAGCCCGATGTGGGGCTCGATCCCAGGACCCTGGGATCATGACCCGAGCCGAAGGCAGTGGCTTAACCCACTGAGCCACCCAGGTGCCCCAAATAAAAGCAAAATTTTAAAAATTTCAGAATTTTCGCTTAATTCAGAACTGAACAAGCATTTATGGAGACCCAGCATAAACTGTTAGTCACTGGGGAGCAGTGAGTTAGAAATGGTCTCTGAGCTGGTCCTGCTTATGTTGGTGAGGAAGACACATAGCTACAGAGATAACATTAGATATAATGTGAATGCTGGTACAACAGAGACACATGGCAAACACAGGAGACAGTAATAAAAGTTGCTCTCTTCAAGATATTGGTTACCTTCAGCCATAGTAGAGATACACAGTAAATCCCAAAAAGTAATCAAAGTTGAAACTTCATCAGGGACAAAGAAATTACATATATTTTCAAAACATCTTGAAGAAAGTGAATGGTGCGGGCAAACTTACAGATCTTAGGGGAATAAAAACAGGTGTTGCTCCAGCCATTCTCACCATGGGCTCATAGCAGTCATAGAAAGGCATTATTATTATGACCTAAAATGAAACCAAATAAGAATTTAACTTATCAATTATTCATTCATTTGAAAAAATACTGTGTACCTGCATTATACTACATGATGAGATGCAGCAGTGAAAAAGCTGGTCTTCCTTGCCTTCATGGAGCTAACAGCCAACTGGAAAAGACCTTAGAGATACACTTGTCTAGGAGTCCTTGATCTCTAAATGAGGTCTACAGAAGGGCTTGCAGTTGGGATTCTTGAAATTATATGTAAAACTTCACATGGGCTTTGGTAGATTTTTCTGGGGGAAGAGGCCATGTCTCATCACATCCTCGAAGGAATGTTCCAGCCAAAACATTAAGTATTTCTTTAAATTTTAAATTACAAAATAAAATACTAGAGAGGGGCAGAAGCCAAAGACTATAAGGAAAGACGACACAACAATGGTCTCCATTATGGGGTACCACTTTCCAAGCATTAACCTGAGGGTAAAGATGTTTCTTCCTGCTCAAAAGCACTCCAAAACAAAGACTGGATGCAGGGAGACAGGTTAAGATGCTATTGTTAATGTCTGATACTCACAATTTCACTGTGGGTGGCTTATATCTAGATTCAGTCTTTTTTCCTAGCCCCTTAAGATACATATTTCTTGTTCCTTGGCCTCTACGTGTTCTCTCTCAGTCACCTGTGGGCTGGCTTTTACATCAGTCAATGGGCCAATCCAACCTGTCCAGTTGGTATCTAGCATCCTTTTTACTTTTCTATAAGGAAAGTTTGAACACATAATTTATATCCATCATATATATTCTCTTTTCATCTTTTTTTTTTTTCTTTTAGAGAGAGAGAGAACACACGAATATGGAAGTGAGGGGTGGGGGAAGAGAGAGAGAGAGAGAGAGAGAGACTTAAGCAGGCTCCACAACTAGCCTGATGCAGGGCTCAATCTTATAACCCTGAGATCATGACCTGAGCCAAAATCAAGAGTCAGACACTTAGCCAACTGAGCCATCCAGGTGCCCTTCTTTTTATCTTTTTAAATCTAGTAATATTCCATGAAAATTTCCTACTATTATACTTTTAATATTTATTATCTTAATGGCTACTTGGGAGTCTTAGAATAGTCTTTTTTTTTTTTTTTTTTTTTAAATCATTTGCTTGTATAGAGAACAATGCTGGGGGACCTGGGTGGCTCAGGTGGTTGAGCATCCAACTCTTGATTTCAGCTCAGGTCATGATCTCAGGATTGTGGGACTGAGCCCCCTGATGGGCTCTGTGCTTACAGAGGAGTCGGCCTAAGATTCTCTCTCCCTCTGCCCCTCTCCCACCAGTGCCCATGTGTGCTCTCTCTCTCTAAAATAAATAAATCTTTTAAAATAAATAAATAAATAACAATGCTATGTTTATTTGTGATTATATATAGTTTCTCTGCTTTTAAATAGCTGAATAAATTCATATGATTGCTACTGCTAGATTTAAGCGTACAAACATTTTTATGGCACCTTATACAGACAGCCAAATTGCTTTAGAATAATTGAGTAACTATTTCTAATTTCACAAATCAACACTAAGTTGTCTCACTTAACTTCTGTCGATTAAATTAGTGATACCTGACGGTTGTTGCAAATTTGCACTTTTTACTGTGCATTTCTTAGGATGTAAAATGCCTGTTCAAAGGCCTTTCTCACAGGAGTCATGTCAGGGCCTTACATTCTAAAGCCCCTTTGTTTGTGCTAGTCATTCAGTTCACACTGAGCATTTACTACACAGTCTACTATGCTAGGTGTTAGCTACTGTGCAGGGCAAAGAAATCGATCTTTGTTCATTCCCTTTGGGAAGGGATCTTTCCCTCGGTGGGCTGTAAGTTCCTAATTAGTCTACGAAATTCTCAGGGACCAAGATGACCTATCTTTGAACTCTGGTGAGAAACACAGGGGCCTGATTTTAAGTGAGAGCTCAATAAAGGAAAATAAATTGGAGAGGCAGGGAGGTAAAATTGAAAGAATATACTTGACACTCTTTGCTGAAATTTCCTTATTTTTATGGTGGGAGTAATTCCCCTCTCTTTCTGCAGAGTATTTATTGAGTACTCAGTGTTTCAGGGACTGGTTGTAGAGCAATAAACTGGTTCTCCTGGAACTTACATTCTACCAAGACATTAAATAAGAAAACAAAGAAGTAAATTAGATAATTTCACATAGTAATAAATGTTATAAAGGAAATAAAACAGGTGAATGTGATAGAAAGTGACATGTGTGTGGTTTCAAATATCAGATACAGTGATCAGGGAAGAAAGAACAAAGGAAAGAAGGGCGAGGGCTGAGCCTCAGGATGCTCCTGCTGAGTGCAGGAGGGGGGAGCAAGAAAGGATTAAGAACATCAAAGAATGAGATGAAACTTTCAACTAGTTTATAGGCTCAAAGGAGATTATGTATATGAAAGTATACCTGTACTTCCTTAAGATGTTTCCTTAAGGAGCTTATTGTCTGGCATAGTAGAGGGAATTAGAGATGTAACAGAATAACACAATACAAAGTAACAGCAGTATCTTTTATAGAAGCTGTACAGGGAAAGTGCCATGAGAGTTCAAAGAAAGGAATTAACAACATAGATCCAGGTAAATATTCATTCTTCAGACTCGGCTTAAGCAACGCCTCTCTGGGGTCTTCTGAGCCTACATTAGCAGAGCCGTCACCACCATAACTAACACATTCTCCACAACTGACTGTCACACGCATTCTAATTCACCAGTTGGAGAGTATCTCCTCCACTAGACGGGGAACTCCTGCCACACAGAAACTGTCTCCCAGGGTGCCTAGTATTGGAGATCCTCAGTGATTTCTGAATGAATGAAGAGGTCAGGAAATACTGGAGCAGGGGTACTGGAATTATGATGGGGACAGAGGGGCAGCTCTGAGTCTGGGGTCATGTGGGTCACAGTACCAAAGTAGAAGTCATTCATGCTTCTTGTTACACATGGGGCTGCTAACGATGCTGGGCATAAAAACACACCAACCAAATACTTGCTGAGTTCAGGTAAGGGTAATTTTAGTCGTGCAAATGAAAGATTCATTTTCCCCATCACTGCTAGCCCCTTCCACTTACCCTTATCTAAACAGGCTGTAAAAATATGAATGAGTCACATGCAACAAAACAGATGAATCTCAGACATAATGATAAATGAAAGAAGCTATTCAAGAGTACATACTGTGTAATTCCATTTATATCAGCTTAAAGAGCAGGTAAAAGGAGACTATAGTGCTAGAAGACAGAAGAGTAGTTACCTCTGGAAGAATATAAATGAGGCAGAGGCAAAAGGGAGCCTTCTAGGTGCTAGAAATGTACCGTATCTTCATCTGGTTTGTGGTTACCTGGATACATATTCACATATATATAAACATATGCATGTAAACAATTTGTCAAGCTGTGTACTTAAGATTTGTGGATTTTACTCATGTGTACTATACTTCAAAAATAATTAAAAATAGAATGTAAAATAAAAGATTCAAAGGCAGTACAAATGATAATAATTAAATATAGGTAAGATGTTAATGTTAATACACTTACTTCATCTCCCTTATCAATTAATCCTTGAATGGCATTAAAAAGAGATCCATATGCTCCTACTGTCACAAGGATTTCTTTATTTGGATTGATTTGATTTTGATAAAATTTTTCATATAAGCAGGCTAGAGCTTTCACAAGTGATGGATGACCCTGTTGAACAAAAAGAGGGAAAAAAATTTTAAATTTGATTATGGGATCTACTTCTTGAAGGTACTCTGGATCTAAAATGAAAGAATTTTTAAAATTTGGGTTTCATGTTTACAATTATCCAAAGAAAATTTGTATTTTTTAATGGAAATAAGAAACATTTTCCCCCTACTTTCAGAGGATTCCTACATGAAGGGTAATAACAACTTGCTAATGACTTAAAAAAAAAAATTAAACAATTGGTTTTGGCATTTAAAATTCCACCGTATTTGCTTTGGTAAAAATTGACTTCAGTACCAAATATGTCTTTGATAGTACATTTTTTGACAGCAATCAAATCACATTCAATGACTTTTTTTTCAATTACTTTATTTTTGATAGTAATTAAATTATATTGGGTAGAGTTGGACTTTTTTCCCAGCTAAAATAAGAAAACCTGCATTGTCTATATATCCTGACTCTGTTCTTCCATGTTACCAAAGAGAAGGCTATTATGCCAACCAATGGACTATGGAGAGAGGGCAAAAACAAATTCCCCAAAGAAATGTATATTAGTGCTTATATGAGAGTTATGTTAGGAGGGAAGTAGGACATTCTTCACCACATGATAGCCAAGAGGGGAGGAGTCATTCAAGCAAACAACAATGTTCACTAGAGGAATGAAGGGACTGTAAATCCAAATACTCTGAGACATATAGGGAGTCTTTTTTTCCCCCTAAGATTTTATTTATTTGTCAGAGAGACAGTGAGAGAGAGAAGAAGAGAGTGTGGGGAGGGGCAGAGGGAGAAGCAGGCTCCACACTGAGCAAACATCCCAATGTGGGACTCGATGCCAGGACCCCGGGATCATGACCTGAGCTGAAGGTAGACGCTTAACCGCCTGAGCCACCCAAGCATCCCTGAGCCACCCAGGCATCCCTGTAGGGAGTCTTAACTCCTTTATTTGATCTTCCTTGATTCGTCTCTTCTATGTTCTCTATTCTTCCCTTCTTCTCTTTCTTTCCCTTCCCTTCTCCCCTCCTTGTCTTATTTGGTACTGAATTCAGTATTTCTTATTTCTTATTGTTTCCTAGCATGTAGCTCATCTTTTTGCTTTTGGAGAACTTCCTTAATTTTCAGTCAGTTGCAAGTAAGAGTCCAAGTGCTGGGCATGTGCCTTTTTTGCAAAGCACCTAGGGCTCTAAAGGAATAAACTGGGTCAGGACACAAGTAAGGCTGGTAGGATATACCTCAGATTTATGAAGTAAAAGAGCCTTTGGTCATTTTAAGTTCTCCATCCCAGTTCATATAAAAAGGAGGCATTTGTTGTTGTTATTGTTGTTGTCGTTGTTAAAGATACTTCTGTTTGTCACCTTTGTCAGAATGTTGGTTAGTATGTCACAGACCCTCACCCAATTAAAATGAATAAAAACAAAGCTGTAGCATATTTTTCATATTTTGAAACTAGGAGATATTGTAATATTAGAGAAACTGGGTATAATTACTAATGGGGATGGGTGACGGAATACAGCCAGTAAACTAAAAAATAAGAGCAAGAGAAAGAGACTACTTCAAGCTCCAAAAAATATACACAATTTGTGAAAAGAGCAAGGGAAGATTGTCACCATTCCTGGAAATCCAAAATTTCTTTTGAATTTCATTTTAATAACAGGTCTAACAAATTCTAGCAAGGGGTGATCTGAAAGCAACCATAAACACTACACATTTCCTCAGAATAATAAGGGTCTGTGTTTTAAAAAATTTTTAATTACAAAAATAACACATGCTTCATATAATAATTAAAACTAGGCAAAGCTCTGTTAAAAAAGTATAATGATCTCTCCTCAACAACACTTCCTTCCCATCTCCCTGAGGTAACCAATGTCATCCACAGCCTGGTGACAGTGCAATACTATCTGCTGTACTTATTCAAATAAAAAACACATATATAAATATACTTACATATATTTACAAAAACTGGAAAATATTTAAAGAATGGGCATAGGTCACAGCAAAGGAAACAATCAACAAAACTAAAAGACAATCTACAGAAAGGGAGCAGATAGTCACAAATAACATATCAGATAAAGGACTAATATCCAGAATTTATAAAGAATGTATCAAACTCAATACCCAAAACCCAAAAAAATCCAGTCAAGAAACGGGCAGAAGACCTGAACAGACATTTCTCCAAAGAAGACATACAGATGGCCAAGAGACACATGAGAAGATGCTCAACACTCATCATCAGGGAAATAAAAATCAAAACCACAATGAGATATCTCCTCGCACCTATCACTATGGCTAAAATTAACAACTCAGGAAGCAACAGGTGTCCGCAAAGATGCAGACAAAAAGGAACCTTCTTACACTGTTGGTGGAAATGCAAACTTGTAGCCACTCTGGAAAATAGTATGGAGGTTCCTCAAAGTTAAAAATAGAACTACTAGGGGTGCCTGGGTGGCTCAGTCGGTTAAACCTCTGTCTTCAGCTCAGGTCATGATCCTGGAGGTCCTAGGATCAAGCCCCGCATTAGGCTCCAGTGGGAAGTCTGCTTCTCCCATTCTCCCTACCTGATGCTCCCTCTGCCAAATAAATAAATAAAAATCTTAAAAAAAATAAAATAAAAAAGAACTATCCTGTGATCCAGCAACTGCACTACCTGTATTTACCCTAAAGATATAAAAAGTGTTGATTCAAAGGGGCACCTGCACCCCAATGTTTATAGCAGCAATGTCCACAATAGCCAAAATGTGGAAAGAGTCCAGATGTTCATCAACAGATGATTGGATAAAGAAAATGTGATGTGTATGTGTGTGTAAGTGTGTGTGTGTGTGTGTGTGTGTGTGTGTATATATATATATAGCCAATATATATACTAATTCAAAAGAAATATGCACCCCATGTTTATAGCAACATTATTTACAATAGCCAGGCTATAGAAGAAGTCCAAGTGTCCATCAAGAGCTGAATGGGTAAAGAGGATGTGGTGTACACACACACACACACACACACACACACACACAAATACACACACAAAATGGAATACTACTCAGCTCTCAAAAAGAATGAAATCTTGCCATTTGCAACAACATGGATGGGGCTAGAGAGTCTAATGCTAAGTGAAGTAAGTCAGTCAGAGATAGACAAATAGTATACACTTTCACTCATATGTGGAATATAAGAAACAAAACAAACAAAGGAAAAAGGTGAGAAACAAACCAAAAACAGACTCTGAACTATAACAAATGGATATGTAGTAGAGGGGAGGTGGGCAGGAGGATGGGTAAAATAGGTAATGTGGATTCGAGTATGCATTGTGATGAGTATTGTATAATGTACAGAATTGCTGGGTCACAATATTGTACACCTGAAGCTAATATATCACTGTACGTTAATCATGCTGGAATTAAAAAAAAAAAAAAAGCTGGAAAAAAAGAGAGAAGATTCTCCCTCCCTTGTTGCCCTCAGACCCTATGCTGGAACAACAGTAAAGCGAAGACCAAGATAGGACTGTGGAGGGGTTAGAAGTTGGGAATGGCTCCTTCCAGAAGATAAGGGCAAGCAAGGTTAGGGGTTCCTCTGATTACCAGGTTGGGACAGCTGGTCCCAGAAAGCCAATTATACAGAAGTGACAGAAGCACATTCACACACAACACCATATAAAATACAAGTTCATGCCCCACATGGTCTTCATATACTTACAAAGCCTCGCGTATACTGGTTCAGGCTATCAATTGCTGCAATCTTTGATAATTTCTCCTTTACATATATGGGAGGGGATATATCTGGAAGGCCTTGACCAAGATTCACAACAGAGGGGTCTGCAGCCAACTTTGTAAATTCAATCCTCAAATTAAAAAAATAATAGTAAGTACCAAAATTACAGTTAGCTTTTTATCTCATGATCTTAACATAAAACTGAAAAACTAAGACCTAGTTTAATCTTACAAATAAAAAAATATGAGTTCCCAACAAAAACTTTACCACCTACAAAATGACTTTATCTAATTAGATGATGGCTGAACTAATGAACTTAGAAGTTTCTTAGAAATCTCAATTTCTTGAAACCCACAGTTTCATCATCTATTTTTTTTTCCCTCAACCATACCAGCTCTTACTAGCTCACGGATTACAAGATAAGTTCTTTGTTCTTTTCTCTGCCTATCTGTAAGCTTAGCACATGTACCATATTTATACGAATGAATAAATCAGTTTATGGACCCTTAACGTCCTTCCAATTTCACTTAATGAGTAAATTAAAATAAGTACCTTTATTTGTAGAGTTTAGATAAGGGTAAACATTCCCAACTAAGAAAATCAAAATGCGTAGGAAGAAAGCTTCATCAAATTATTACTGCTTATTCTAAGGCACTCACCACACATTACTATCAAGGCCTTCGATTCGTTTTGCATTGGTGATTTTCAAAGACATCTTCTGAAAGATACAAATATTGAAAGGTATTTTTAAATTTCTTTAATCAAAATTTAAAAAAGCCAGAAAACCACTGGTAACTCTACATTTTCCCTATTGTCACTACGGGAAGAGCAGTACCATGACAAATGCCAGAGCCCAATACAAAATTCTGAAGTGGAATCATCTCCCACCTACTGCCCTAAGGAACGCTTTTCTTACGATCCTATGATATTTATCTTCTCACAAAAGAACAAAAATAGCATCCTAGCCTAAAAAATAAACCACTTTGAAGGCCTGAAATGCACTAAAGAGAACAATAATGATACTAAAAAAAGTCAGGGTAAAAACATACCCTGAGTCCTTCTCTGAAGATCATTTTAGGTAAGATGTAGTAACAGTTCCACAAGTAAGTGCCTTCTATGGCACACAGGAAGCACTCAACAAATGGTTTTAAAACTATTCAACAGAGAGCCCCAAATCATAACAGCTCACATTATTGAGTAGTGAGTAGGTACCAGGCACTGTTCCAAGTGTTGTACATAATTAACTCATTTCATAGTCACAACAACCCTATGTAGTGGTTCTCTTATTTCCCCTAAGTTAGTTAGGAGCAAAATGAGGTACAGAGTACAAGGCTATAGAACTTTACACATCCGCCCAAGTTTACAAAAGCTAGTAACATTTAAACCCAAACAGATTCAACCCAGGATCTGAACCCAGGCAGTCTGATTCCAGAATACATACTCAGATTCCTTTCTTTTTCTCTCTCTTTTTTTTTTTTTTAGATTTTATTTCTTTCTTTATTTTTAGAGTTAGAGTGTGAGCAAGGGAAGGGGCAGAGGTAGGAAGAGGGACAGAGACATTGTCAATGACTCCATGCTGAGCATGGACTCCAGTGCAGGACTTGATCCCACACCCCGAGATCATGACCTGAGCTGAAATCAAGAGTCAGACGCTTAACCAACGGAGCAACCCAGGCGCCCCCAGATCTATTTCTATATACCGTCTTTGATGTATCAAGACCTTATAAAAAATATTACCAGAATGCTGCCTCCTAAAAAGAGTGTATTAGACATTTACGTCAGGTCTCTTTATAACAAGCAAGCTAGGCCTATGGTAGAAAAATATTAGAAGTTAAAACTATGGTACATCATAAAATTCTTTAGTTCTCTAGATTTTAAAATTAAGTTTATACTATCTCACCAAAGCACTGAATTAGCGTTAAGTTCACTGTTAACAAGCTGCTAGGGAAAAAAATGATTGGCAGCATTTTTATAAAGATTTTCCTAATAGAATACTAAAGCAATTTTAATTCACTCTGGGAGGAAGATAATGATAATGGTTATTAAATACACCATTGTTCTCATTCTATTCCAACAACGGAACCAAGAAAAATATCTTCTTACTCTCATATTTTTTAATCTTTGAAACTCCAGCGAAGTAAATCACATGCAAATTCTCCAGAGGTTAAGGTGCCTTCCAGAATAGCATTATGATTAAGTACCCACCTGAACAGGATGCTATTCCAGAAACTACAATTATAAAACTAAAAAGTCCCAGAATGATAGACAGAAAAAAATATCTTAACAATTGTCCTTTGCCATTAAAATGTTTAAAACTTAATGATTCATTTAGCATGTGGCTGCAAACACAACATACAAATTCATATATAAATAGGTGAGAAAAGTCTGCAGCAGATCATTTAGACACAAAAGTTCAATTTTATTCAAAATATTTAGGTAACTGAAGGCAAAACATATTTCCGGATTTAATTTTAAAATTTGTGTCCAGAACAGCCTCTCTCATACAACCTCCCTGTCTCTCTGCTCCTTCCCACCTGCCTAAACCATTTTAATATTTGAAATACTCTATCTTACTTCTGTAGCTTCACATATGATCATTCCTCTGCCTTAATGGTTTTTCTACACCAATGTTTCCTAATCTCCTTTTCATCACTGCCCCCATAAGGAGACCTTTCAGATATGTCTTCTAATCATCTCCCCTACTGCTCCATAAAGTAAGTTTTGTCAGATAGGGCTGAACTTTCCAAGGTCACAGAACATTGTAATAGCTATGGTTGATTTCACCTGCCAAGCACCAATTTTCTCCCCTTGAGGGCAATGATGCCCGTGTTGAGAATGTATGTTCTATACTCAATTCAATCCCTGCTCCCCATCACCCTGTCTCTGCACTTGGCTACCTCCTAAACCACTTGCCACTTTCAGTTCTCAAGTTAGACTTCATTTCCTCCACAGAGTGTTTTCTGATTCCCTAGGTCAAGGTTATATGCTCTTCCTACATACTTCTATTACATGGAGTAAATTCCAGCATTTACCATACAACACAGTAATTTTCCTGTTTATTTATCTATAACCTTCCTTTGATTGTAAACCCTGAGGATTAGTTCAAGCTTGTTCACTGGTATGTGTCTGTAATCAGGTTTCTCCACAGAAATAGAACCAATAAGATGTGCATATATATATATATAGTGATTCAAGAAAGGCTTGTGTGACTTATGGGGCCCAGCAAGTTTGAAATCTGCAGAGCAGTAAGGCACGCTGAAGACCCAAGGAGAATTGATATTACAGCTCAGAATCTAATGGCATTCTGGAGGCAGAATTCCCTTTTCCTGGGGGGAACCTTAGTCTTTTTCCTCTTAAGGCCTTCAACTGATTGGATCAGGCCCATCCACATTCTATAGAAGGCAAATTACTTAAAATCTACTAATTTAAATGTTAATCTCATTTGAAAAACGCCTTCAGAGACATTTACATGGATGTTTGAACAAATACCTGGATTCCCTGGCCAGCCCAAGTCAACACAAAATGAACTATCACAGTGTCCAACACATAGAACTATGCTTAGCACATAGTAATTTTTCAACAAATAGCTGATGAATGAAAGAAAGAATCCACACATCAGAAGTGAACTTAAGGTATCAGTTAGTTTATGTTAGGTTTATTGTGTCAGTCAGCTTAAGTTAATTTATGCTTCAGTAATAAATGACCCCAAAGTCTTGGTGGCTTAAAATCATCAGGATTTATTTCTTTTTCACAGTACATACTGACTGAAGGTCAGCTCCTGCTTTGTTCCATGTCACTGTCACTCTGAGACATCAGCTGACAAAATAGCCTCTTTTTGGAATACTGTCAATTTCAGAGCAGAGGGGAAAAATGTTAATTTTTACTTAGATGTGCACATACCACTTCTACTCACATTGTGTTGGCCAAAGCAATTCATTGCTATGCCTGATACCAACATGGCAGAAATGAAGTCTGCAGGTACAGTGATTGTTGTGGGTTGAATTGTGTAACCACCCCTCCCCCCCAAATTCATGTTGAGGTCTTACCGCCCAGTACCTCAGAATGTGACCTTATTTGGAAATAGGTTCATTACAGATGTAATTGGTTAAATTGAGGTCATGGGTTGGGGGACACTGCTATGACACTGATATGACAGTGTCTTTATAAAAAAGGGTGAATCTGGAGACAGTCTGGTATACAGGGATAATGTCACATGAAGATGAAAGTCAGGGAATGCCAGAGAACCACCAAAAAACTAGGGGGAAAGCAGGAATAGATTCTTTCTCACATCAAACAGAAGAAGCCAAACCTGGTACACTTTGCTTTTGGGCTTTTAGCCTACAAAACTGTGAGCTAATACAGTTTTGTTGCTTCAGCCACTGAGTTTGTCTTACTCTCTTAAGGAAACCAGAGTGAATTAATACAGTGATGAACATTTACAAGACACCTGACAGTGTCTAAAAACATCAAGATTCAGCAGTAGATGCAAATGCTCACTATATAAGAATTACTGTCCAGAGTAGATCCAGTCTTATGAAATGTTAGTAAACCCAGAATCCCAGAATTAAGTATGAGCTTTGGGTGTATGATGGGAAATCTACAGGGAAATCTACAGCTTCGGGTGTATGATGGGAAAGCTACTCCATGAGCTGGTTTCTGCTCCCAGGTAAATTAATACCATGCATACATATATTGCACTGCTTTGTTATAAACACAAAAATGCTAATGAAATAATAAACAGCGTCTTTTTTTCATCCACTTGCGGCTGAAAAGTGCAGCTCTGCAGAATCACCACTAGGTGGAACTCTTGGTAGAGATGAGAAAAAGCTTATTACCAATTCTTTCTGCAATGGTTACTGCAATGGTGTTGGAACAAGGAAAACTTGGAAAGAAGAAAAAATATTACCCATTATCCTAAGACTCTAGCATAGTAAAGTTTCAACTATATGCATTTTGAGCACTCTTTCTGTAAGACTGCTACTTTTGGGTCAGATAGGATAGATGTAGAAAAAGTCTTCCCAGGTGGTGGGTTAAACCCGGGGAAGCTGGGGGCTGTCAGCATCGATGCACCATGGGCTGAGTCAAGCGTAAAAAGATAAAGAGTGCAAGAAAAGGTCAGAAACAGAACTAACAAGCCAATGGTTAGAGAGGTGACAACAATAATCAGATATGAGAGGCAGACAGACCCCAGTACTTCAAGACTAGGTGGCAGCAGAAAGTAAGTAACAATCTAATGGGTACCCCTTAATGTGTCTGGCCGCTGGGGTAACTGAGACATCCCTTCTCTTTCAGATCTATGAATCAGGCATTTCTAATTTTCTAAACATTTGCCTTTTCTTTTAAGAGAGCATCTTAAACATTTCATGAATTTTCTGTCATAAAATTTTCACTTTGATTAGCAGGTATTATTTCAGGTTCGTTATTCATTCCCTATTGTTTGGGCGTTTCCTGTGTTTTGCAACTATAGGTAGTGTGTTTCTGCTGTGCATTTAATTATAGGGTTCTTATTCTGTTTCCTTCAGTTTTGGAGTTTGATGTGGAGGGGAATGCCCTACTATAACACAAGTATTTATTATTACAAGAAGGATGAAATATCATCAATATATATCATCTAGTTTAGCTAAACTAACTGAACATGCAACTTTTGATTTACTTTTATGGAAAAAGTAAGGTATAAAATCTGATGTTCCAACAACCACAATGATCATACTTACTTTC